TGGCTCACAGTAGGTGCTCAGAATCTGTTTGTTGAATGAATACACGACCTCTCAGAGGGTCATAGAGATCTCATTCCTGGGCCCCGCTGTTCAGCCTGGGAAACTGAGACCCAGAGACAGAGTTATCCCACGGTTACATGGTAGCACAGCAGCAGCCTCTCTGGAGGGGGGCTCCCCCAGGTGGACGCTCCCAACCACCACCACCGCACTGGACGTAAGGGGAAACTGAGGCCTGGAGGACAAGGCCTTAGAAGATCTCAAGGACTCAGCCTGTGGTCCCTCCATGGAAGCTCAGGAGGGTGGGATTCCAGGGGAGGTCATCTCAGGGAGGGGTGTAGGGCATCCCAAAGAAGGTGTGTGTGTATGCTGTGGAGCTGGGCCTCGTCCTGCCAGCTCTCGGCTCCCAGCTCTCGGTGTTTATCACACCTGGAGCTGAAGCCAGACCAGCATGAGTTATTAGTCAGCATCTGCCTCTAAGTGTGGCTGTTTCCATGCCAACAGCTGGTTTTTCCTGGGCACCGTCTTGTGGCCCCATTTGACAGACAGAGACGCTGAGGCCTCCTACATCCACCTCATTAGACCACCAAGCAGCCAACAGGCCCCTCACCTGCCCAGGCCTCAGACACACCCAGGGCTACACGGCAGGAGGCAGCAGGAGGGGACACCATGGGGCCTCAAATCTGCACCTGCCTAATTTCTTCTCTTAGGGACCTCCTGCCTGCTCCCCATCAGAATGGGATTCAAGACCCCCACGGGCCCGGGCACTCACCTGCCGCCGGTGTCCCAGGCCACGGAGCCTGCCAAGTGCGAGAAGCACAGCCCAGGTGTTTGTGTGGCCCGGGCTGCAGCTCTTTGTTATGGTTTCCATAGGTACCACGTCCCTGGGCCGGCCCTCCTCCACCCCTCCCAGCTGCCCAGCCCTTGGCCCAGCCCATCCAGGCAACTTGTTATGTTTTAAAATTGACATTGTGGGCCTGGCATGGTGGTGGGGGAAACGGCGTGTACATAGGCCCTGAGGCAAGACGATGCCTGGGTGTGAAGGTGGAGGCTGTGTGCCTGGGCAGCTAGGGAGAGGGAAAGTGGGAGGATGTGAGGGCCGGGAGAAATGCCTCTCTGTTCCATTGTGGAGGGGGAAACTGAGGCCCAGAGAAGGGAAGGGAAGGGAAGGGAAGTGCCTGAGGACATGAAGGAGACTCACATTCCTGCATTTAACCCTGGAGGCAGCACTCAGCCCCAGGAGTCACGTTCCTGCCATTATTCAGACAGGAAACAGGCTGGGAGAACCAAGTCATCTGTGAGTGGCAGAGTGGGAAGCAGGTTTGTCAGATCCCAAGGTCTGAACTCCCCAACCACTGGCACAACTGCTCTCGCCCATCTGCAGCCCCTCAGGGCCTTCACCGCCTCCAGCTGGGCTCAGACTACTCGGGAGGTAACCATGGAGACCCGTGTACACCTGGGGCTGCCCCTGCTCCCGGAGGGCCCCAGGATACAGGAGGCCGTGAAGCCGGCAGATCTGGGTCAGCTCACCTGCCAATTACCTCAGCGGGTGACCGTCCCAGTTCACAGCTGGCAAAACTGAGGCCAAGGCTTCAGGCCACCGGGGAGCTCCTAGGGGGCGGGTGTGGGCCTGGGCCTGGCTCTCCCAGCAGCCTGGAATCTGGCCCCAGCACCTGGCGCCAGGTGCAAGGAGTAGAGTCCATCAGAGTCCCCATGGGGGTGGGGGGGGGGGCTCTCTATGCCCGTGGGGGCAGTTCAGACCCACTGTGCCTTCCCCTAACCCTGCAGCAGAAGAGGGTCCGAGACCGAGGGAGAGGGAGAGGGAGAGGGAGAGGAGAGGGAGACCCAGGCAGGAGTACAGGCGGACGGGGCAGCGAGCTTTGCAGGGGCACAACGTGGCGGGAGAGACGGAGGGCGGCCAGGCAGCCCCGGGAATGCGCCCGGCATCGCGCTCTCACCTGCTCTTCGGGGCCCGTCGTGGATCCGACAGCCGGGATCCGGTCCCGCCGCCTCCGAGGGCCGATGCGCCCGCCGCGGAACTCGCGCTGGTTAACCCAGCGGGTGGGGCGGGAAGCTCTAGCCCTCGGGTCGCCGGGCCCCTCGCCGGGCCCCGCCCCCGGCCTGCCCCCGCCCTCTCGGAGGGGGTTGGGCCAAGGGCATGGGCTCAGCCAATAGCAGTGCGGGCGGCGTACGAAAAAGCCAATGGAAGCAGGTCACCGCCGCGGGGGGCGGGACTAGGGGCGGGGCCAGGCGGCTGGGGGGATTCCTCCGGAATCTCGAAACCGGCCGGATGCTGGGGGCGCCCCGGACCGGGGCCGTCGGAAGAGAGGGGAGGAAGGGGACAGAGTCAGAAACAAAGAGACCCGGGGGGAGAGGAAGGCTCAGAGCCAAAGAGAAAAACATCAACCGTGCAGTTCTGGACAGGACCCTTGCTCCCTACGGGACTCAGTTTACCCACCTGGGTAACAAGAATTTGGGTAGAAGCTTGTTTCTTAAAATACAACCAGGGAACCCTTTACATCGGAATCACCTGGGAGCCCCTTAAAAATGCAGATTCCAGTACCCGAGGCGGGCTGACCCTGACCCAGGGCTGAAGATCCATCGTCCCGGGTTGCTCATAAACTCTCCGGTGAGGTTTGGGCAGTGGCGGGGTGGACAGGCCCTGGAGATCCCACCAAGGGACCCCAGAGCCAGCCTCAACTTCCCTGGGAAGGAGCCTCCTGGCCGCCAGCAGGTGGGGCGGCAGGGCCAGCTGGGCATCCCCTCCACCCGCCCCCCATCCCCCGCGAGGATGCAGCTGTGAGTCCTGGGAACTGGGCCCTGGAGCGGCTCCCAGCTCCCTTGCTCCTGTTTCCTCTCTGCAGCCCCAACCCAGGGCCCAGTTGCAGCTGGAGCCAGGGGCGGCCGGACAGGCCCGATAACAAATGTTTGTTGAGTGCCTAGCCCTGTCCTGCACGGTGGGGGGGGTGGGGGTGGGGGGGGGGACAGGGAACTATGGCACAGACCGCCTGAGGCCCAAATAAATGAAATGTTTCTTTATTCCGCTTTGGAGGGGGAAACTGAGGCCCAGAGAGGGGAAGTGAACTGCCCGAGGACACGCAGGCACCAGTGGCAGGGACGCGATTTCAAACCTAGGCCTGCCTGTCCTACCTCTTCTCACCCCCGGCTAGGTCCCCCTCTCTCTCTAGGCCAGGCTGTCTCATCCTCGGCACTCCTGACATTTGGGGCGGTAATTCCTGGGGGCGGGGGCTGGGGGGGCACCATGTGCACTGTGGAGTGTTGAGCAGCATCTCTGGCCTCCACCACTCAGTGCCAAGGTAGCCCCTTCCCCCCAAATTGTGACAAACAAAAATGTCTTCAGTCATTGCCAAGCGTTCGTTCCCTGGGGGTCAGATTGGCCCCTGGTTAAGACCTAAATCCATCTCTTCATGTCCCTGAGCCCCAAATTACGAAATGGATCAGGGTAGCTAGTGGGGGTCACAGAGGCAGAGGGAGCCATTTTAGCACCTCCTCAACCCACAGCAGGTTGTTCCGATGAGCGCTGCTGGGCATGAGCAGGTGTGGAGTGTGACTGAGGTGGGTTCAGTCCCAGCGTTGTCAATATCTGCCTCCAAGCGTTCATCTCTCCGAGCCTCCATTTTCCACATCTGTGACATGAGGGTATAAAGCCTACAAGGCCACAAATAAGATAATGAATAAAAAATGCAGGTTCTGCCCTGGCTGGTTTGGCTCAGTGGATAGAGCGACGGCCTGCAGACTGAAGGGTCCTGGGTTCAATTCTGGTCAAGGGCACGTGACTGGGTTTTGAGCTCGATCCCCAGTAGGGGGCGTGCAGGAGGCAGCCAATCAATGGTTCTCTCTCATCATTGATGTTTCTATCTCCCCCTCTCCCTTCCTCTCTGAAATCAATAAAAAAAATTTTTTTTAATGCAGATTCTGCCGGGCTAGTGTGGCTCAGTGGTTGAGAGTTGACCTATCAACCAGGAGGTCATGATTCGATTCCCAGTCAGGGCACATGCCCGGGTTGCAGATTGATTCCTGTGTTGGGTGGGTATGGGAGGTCACTGATAGCTGTTTCTCGAATCAATGTTTCTCTCTCTCTCTCTCTCTCTCTCTCTCTCTCTCTCTCTGTTCCTCTCTCTCAAATCAATAAACTTATCCTCTGGTGAGGATTTTTTTTTTTTAGTGCTCACAAGAATGTGAAGAAATTAGAACTTTGAACATTGATAGTGGTGGGGGATATAAAATGGTGCAGCTGTTGTGGAAAAGTTGGTGGTTCCTTAAAAAGTTAGTCATAGACTTAGCATATGACCGAGCAATTCCACTCACAGGTATCTACCCAATGAAGTTGAAAGCAGGGACGCAAATAGATAGCTTCATAGCAGCATTAGTCACAGTAGTCAAAGGTGGAAACCACCTGTGTCCGTCCACGGATGGTGAGGAAGCACAGTGTGGCTCATCTATGCAATGGAATACTATTCAGCCTGAAGAAGAGAGAAAATTCTGACTCCTGCCATAACTTGGATGAACCTTGGGGACATGATTCTGAGTGAAATAAGTCAGACACAGAAGGATAAATACTGTGTGAGTCTACTCACAGGAGGTCCCTAGAGGAGTCAAATGCATAGAGACAGAAAGTAGGTGGTGGGAGCCAGGAGCTGGGGAAGGTGGGTGGGGAGTGTGTGTTTAATGGGGACGGAGTTTCAGTTTGGGAAGATGAGAAAGTTCTGGAGATGGATGGTGGTGATAATTACACAACAATGTGAATGTATTTAATACCACTGAACTGTACACTTAAAATGGTTAAAGTGATCAATGTTATGTTGTATATTTACCATAATTTTAGAAATGAATAATGTAATATACCAAAACACTGAATTGTGTACTTTAGAAGAGTGAATTGCATAAATTATGTCTCAATAAAACTGTTTTTGTTTTGTTTTTTAAGAAAGGGCCCAGCGCCACATCTGGTAATAATAGCAACAATAGTATAACTAATATTTATTGAGCACCTATTATGTGCCAGTCACTATTAGCACTTTGCATAAATTAAGTCATCGAATCCTCACAGCAACCCTGCAAGGGGCTACAAGTGTTCCATTTCACAGATGATGACATTGAGGCTCAGAAGAAGCAGGTCGTGACAGAGGTGGGATTAGAACCTGGGACAGTCTGAGTTGGGTGTAATGTGTACAGCTCTTCTGAGTGGCCTGGACATCCCTGGGGTTGCCCCCAGAAGGCCAGGGAACGGGGCGGGGCGGGGTGGGGGGGCCTCCTGAGCCTAGTGAAGAACAGACTGGGGCTCTATCGGGTTAGGCTCAGCTCGGGTCTTGGGGTCATGGCTGTGCCGCTTCCCGCCGTGTGCAGCAGGGGGCGTGCGTTGCCCACAGCTGGCCCAGTAGCGACCTCTCTCACAGGAGGAGGTGGCTAAAGTGGTCTGGATCTGCATGCCGGGAAGGGTCCCAAGTCCAAGTTACCCCAGACCCTAAACCCATCCAGTGTCGCCGGCACCCCAGAATCAGGCCTTGCACCCTGCCGGACTGTGTGACCCCGAGAAAGAGGGCCTCTTCTCTGTGCCTCTGCCTCGTCCCTGAGCAATGGGACCCCCGTGTGGAGAGGAGGATTTTCTCCGGGATCCTCCGGCAGGCCCTCGCCTGGCGGCTTCCCCGCTGCCTGGCGGCTTCCCCGCTGCCCAGGAGCTGTGGGGGGCCAGTGGTGGCAGTGGCCATAACAACCCCCTCCCAAGCTCCAACCCCATGTCCTTAATCCATCTGTCCCCAGCCCATTTATCTGTGGGGTGAGACCCCTCCCAAGGCCACTTAAGAAAGAGTGGGCCCAGCCTGCTTGGCTCAGAGGTTGAGTGTCGACCTATGAACCAGGAGGTCATGGTTCGATTCCTTGTCAGGGCACGTGCCTGGGTTGTGAGCTTGATCCCCAGGGGTGTGCAGGAGGCAACTGATCAATGATTCTCTCTCATCATTGATGTTTCTATCTCTCCCTTCCTCTCTAAAATCAATAAAAATGTATTTTAAAAAAAAGAAAACAAAAGAAAGAACGAGTGGGCGGACCCAAAGGGGGACAGGATGAGGGGGGTGGAAGCTTGCTGGAGCCCCCACAGGCCAGAAGGTCTCGCAGAACTTCCCCAAGAGCACTGGGGCGGGGGGGCTGTCAGCATCTCTGAGGTCACTGGCTCAACCTGAGGTCAGGGTCAGAGGCCAGATGACCCCTCCCCTCCCCTCTGCTAACAGGAGGCAGAAGACAAGTGGGTGGGAAGGTCCTAAACAGCCTCCGTCCTTTGCCTGCGTTGCCCCATTCCCCGCACCTTCCTCCCGGCTGAACGCTGAGCAAAGGAGCAAGTGGGGCCGCAGCGGGAGGATGCATTTACAAGTGTCAGCGGAGCAGCCACCTGCTGGCTGCCTGCGTGTGGGAGGCCGGTGTCTGGGGAGATAAACTCCCGTCGGGCCTGTGTGCACGTGCGTATGTGGGTGTGTGTGGTAGGGAGGGGCGGCCTGATCTGCTGCTGCTGCTGAGGGTGGTGAGCCCCACAGCGTTCCTGGCGGGAGAAAACTTCATTTTGTGGAGCCTCAGTTCCTTTATCTCGAAAATGGGTGCAGTCACAGCACCCGCTTCAGAGACTTGTAAAACTCGGCGGACACAGCAGGCTCAGCAGAGGCCTGACACACACACAGGCCGCCAAGTCCGGGCTGTGACGAGGGACACACAGGCAGCTGTGGGAGCCCAGACTAGTCACTTGACTGGGGCCAGGGAAGCTTCCAGGGGGAGGTGACAACTGAGCTAAAACTTGAAGCGAGAGCAGGAGCCAGCCATGGGGAGAAGCAGGCAGGAGGCCCTTTCTGTTCTTGGCTTGCTGACCTCGGTCAGAGCGCAGGGCCACCCCTGAGCCGGTTTCCCCATCTTCAATCAGACTCCTGGTACCCACCTTGCAGGGCAGCAGCCGAGGGCTGGGCGGAGGCAGGAGGTGCTGAGCGGAGAGTGAGTGCCTGTGAGGACTGGTTATTAGCGTTGGGGTTTTCTTTGCTGCGCCCAGG